AAGCGTGATAGAAATTAGGCAGGCAACTCCTTGAAATTCATGAAAACCTGGTTTTCCTATGAACCGACTTGAAACCACATGAATGACTCCAGTCATGTCTCACTTTTGTGTGTGTGTTTGGAATTTGTACTCTATCAATAAATATACAGTTAATTAAAAATGTCTCAATGTTCTACTTTCCTCAGTGTAACTGCATATGGCTTCAAAATTCTCCTAAGAAATGCTCAAATTTCACAATTTTCCCGGGGGGCTTATAGCGCCCCCCCGGAACGCCCAGATGTTTAGGCTCGCTTCACTCGCCACCCCACCCTCTTGGGTAGTTATAATGAGGGGGCCCTCCACAAAGAGGCTGGCTGCCCATGGGCCTCCACAGGTCTAAATCCAGCACTGCCTCGAGAGGGTACTCGCTCCCCCCAAAAGACTCCCAGAATCACTCGTAAGGCAGCCAGCCGATGCTGACGAACCTAAGCCTCGGCTCCCCGCCAAGAATAGTCAGTCGCCGGCTCGGAGAGTTCCGGCATCGCCGCCGGCCACCGCCAACGGCATCAAAAGTCCCGTGCGAACCGCCGACAAAAATTCCACTGCTTCGAGACTGCCCGGACTGGATAATTCCAGCGTGGCTCTTAAAAACCGCCTGAACCAAGAAGTCGCCAAAACTCTCTCCCAAAAACAAGACGGTCAACGGCACGGATCCGGACGATTCCCCGGACTCTGGTAGCTTCGATCAAGATTCGTTAGAAGAAGCAGAAGTGATGCCTCCGGCGTCTAGAGATGCCTTCCGCCGTTTTACGGGAGCGGTCGGTCAGTCCCCGACGGAGATGGTAGCGACCTGTGCAGAAGCTGAGCGTTTCAGCGGCACCGCCACTCAAGACGAGGCAAAGTTCCAGGAGGCCAGAGAGGCTCTCACCAGTGAATAGAGACGGTTCGTAACGGCCTCGAAGTTATTCGTCAAGTCGGCCACAGAATCCGAAGACACGTTATTGCAGTGTCTGTCGACGTGTATGAAGCTGATGCAGCGCATGGTGGACGTGACCCAGCAGGTGGTGCGGCACACTACCACGCCTCTCCACGTGGTAGTGAAGGTGAGGGACGTGGCCACCACCTACCACTCCACCGTCCGGGCGGCGCTGGATGGACCATCCTTCCATGAACACCCTCATGACTCAGGCCACCAACCTGGCCGGCGTACTCACCTCTCGCTCAGTGTGTTCAGCCCGTGAGATCCCCGACGCTCCGACGTCGCAGAATCGTGTGCATTATCGTATTATTAAGATCGCTCTCCCAGTAAAGAGTTGCAAAAATCGCCTTTGACAGTGCAATGAATGGAAACTTACAAAAGAGTACTTAATGTATTTACACGTTTGTAGATATAGAAATAAACCCGATACGCATAATGTCAATCACCGTAGCCCGACCAGCTTCTGTAAATAACGATAGAAATCTCAGGCATTATGAACAGTCAGTCCGGAGGAGAGTGAGAGCACCGGCTCCAGAGTCGAGTGTCCGGGACGAAGCTGGGACAGTCTGAGGGTGACGTAACAGAGCTGTATATTTCAGTACATTGATATAATTGTGTATAACAATGCCTAAGTTACCCCCAGTCTCGCATTTGACTATAAATTTCCAAGTGTGTTTGTTTCTCAAATGTACTTAATATAGCAGCTTTTTCAGTTACTTTTTTTTTATTATTCCAAGTTTATTGGCACTACTTGCAATTGTTCTCCAGATTTTTTATTTGTTGTACAATATAATTGCAACTTATGGTTTGCTTCCACTTTCCATTAATTTGTTCTTTGTCTTGTACAGTTTGAGGCCCTCTACCCCTCTCGGTGTATATAACTTCTATACAGCAACAAAACTTGTCACATGTCAGCCCCAGTTAGGAGTTGTAATTCAGTTTATCTGCTGTATTTTCTGCTAAATAGTGTCATAGTATATCCCGTCTGTATCCCCTTGTGCATGTAGATAACTAAGGGTACCGGGGTATACACTGTAGGGAGATATATCTACTGTAGCTGTGAGGACTATTAGTGAAGGGTTAAACAATCAACGGTTTCTTGTATAGGAATGTTGTAATATAATGTGAATGACAGTACAGTAATGGAGGTTGGGAGTACGTTACTGTAGTGGTAGTACTGTAATAAGTACAGTAGTAATTATGGTGACGAGTACTAGCAGTGGTGGAGGGTGTAGTAGTACAGCTATACTTAAGGTAACAAGTTATGTAAATCTACCACCCAAGACGAGTGAGCTCAGACGTGGTGGCCAATGGAGTTCCTAAACATATGAAGTAGGAGTGGATTGTTCCAGAAACGCTGCTGCCTACAGATTCAGGGTAGGAGCTACCAGTACAAGGGCCTCGAGGTTGTGAAGGAGAAGCTACTTCGAGTGGTTGGGGGAAATGTAGGCGTTAGTATTGTGCTGGAGACATTCCTCAGTAGCCAGACCAGGAGAACTACTGACCTCACCCAGAACATGTACCGTGTTGAGCTAGGTTATACAAGCATTATATAAACTCAATTTTCCTCGTTTATCCTCCCATTTCGGGTCATTGTGGTAGCAGGAATCTGGCCTCAAATACAGAATTGTTCTTCCCTCGGGTATTCACCAAGTGGGTCTTCCACCATAATTACTGGCCACTGAACTACCACCTTTCTATTTATACCGATTATGAATTGGCAAGGGAAAAATGGAATTAAAATGGACGATAAAGCACAAGGGGTTCAAAGACAAGAATTGATGGAGCATTTACATTAACAAGTATAGAGTCGGTTGTATCATGACCACACAGCATCTTATATGTATTCAACAGTAAATTCGGCCACCTAAACTGCCAGGTTTCAAGGAGGTATGGGACCAGGTGGACTCCTGTGCAGGTTTGAGAAAGTGGCTGTGGACACCAGGTGCAGTAAGGATACACGCCTACTATCCTCACTGGTAAGGTATATTAATTTCTATATTGCTTCCCTGGCAGATAATCAATGATCAGTTAAAAAAACCTTTGCTCTAGGCTCGAGATTCCATTCGTACATTCATTCAGGTGGGAAGCTTCAGATGGATGAAAGTTTAGAGTTCACACATTGCTCGATTGAAGTTACCAAGTAAATGTATTGTGCTAGATGGTCTGGTGGCGTCTTGAAGCCGAATTAAGGCTCATCTAGCAAGAACAATAGTAGTTTCCGATCTTATGTGAACCTAAATTTTTTAAGCTGCTAAATTGTATACAAGTTAGAGAAATGTCGAGTCTAGTCTTAAATTGGTCTAAAACTCCCCAGAACACCGTTATTAAAGGAACTAAAAAACGGAATTTTAAAATTTAAAATCAAGTTTATTGTAGAAATATGTCGATCATATCTACAGTTAAATAAATACAGCAGTTCCCGCTCCTATAATTCTTCCCCACTCTAGCCGGGTTCGTCCTTAACTGCCCACATAACGAAGGTAGGTAGGTCACTGTGCCGTGGGTGAAGCTGGATTGGTCCACTTTCAACTAGAACGAAACTCAAATTCATCCCCTCACTAAACCATTTCCAGTAGTTATTCCACGTAGTTCTCGGATATCTGGAACAAGCAAGTAATCAGAGATTAAATATAGAAGTATACTTTGTATCAAACTCAATCACACAGAAATAATTCACTAAATACATTAATATATAACCAAGTTATATCAAATATAAATAGTTAATCAACAAAACTCATTTTTAACCAACAAGAAAATTGTACTCAAGAAAAATAACACCAGCATTTGAAGAATGAAGAGATGTATATCCATGGATCCAGTAGTATTACTTCCTTTGAGGTTATGATCAGTACTGACCTCCCGTCACAGCTTTCAGAGTATTTAAGGACGGCAGTGGTGGGGGGGGGGGGTGATACATGTGAATTAGGCGGGAAAATCTTAACTGGGCTAACCACCTCTTAACTGGGCTAACCACCTCATCACAAGTGTTTAAGACATTTCATTTCTCGATAATTGTTCCATAAAACTTCACTATGTCGTGATTATTTATCGCCTTTCTATTGCTAGTTTAATATTTTTCTATTTATAACTTGTTAATTTTTCACTATAGAGATTAATGAATGTGGTTTACCGGGAGTTAAACGGGCGTAACAACCATTAGCGGCTTTACTGTGGTGGTGTCTGTTTCTGGCCGCCCATAGAAAGTCGTAGAATTCGTCATGCTATATTTATCAAAACTTCAAAAACCAGATCACAATTGACTTTGATGTGAAAGATTATGAATAAAAGAAATACAGCGCATATTAAAGTTGGAAGTTTCTCTACATTTGTCACTTCCACATAAATACACATCTGAATCTGTAGATAATGGTCACTCATAATAAGCTCATTTAAAAATGAAAAGTCTTTAAGCTTGGTAATAAAATAAACTAATTCAATAAATGTCTGGCTGGGTTCCTTCTATACATTCCTAAATCTACTATAGAATTCATTGGCCTCTTTAACAGTGTAAGCAACTGCCTATAGCCATTCAAGCAAACCATAAAGTCTCAAAAGCCTTATTGGACAACATCGTGACAAGTATTGCTAACAATAAAAATGGTTCAACGTCACACTGATTCTAAATAATAAAAGTTTCACCCTTTAAGTAAACCAGCAGTACTTAAGTATTCCAGGCAGTATATAAGTACCACCAACATATAGGCTTTACTAACGTACAGTATTGTTAATGAATGTGGTGAGAATACTTCAAAGTTTGTATATATATAGTGCCCCAAGAACGAAGGCACATTTTCTTTCTTGTTAAATTACTGAAATATTTATGTTTTTCAGTTATTTCACATCAAAAATCATTTTATTTTTATGGACTCTATTACATGCTAACATAGTTTTATGTAAATGGTAATAAATGATAATTCAAATAGCTGTTTTATATATTCAACGTAAAAAGGTAATAAGATACGGAATGATATGGAGGTGAGCGCCATCTATGAGTTAACAGCACTACTAAACCTTCATCACGGGGTACAGGGGGAGAGTTTCTCGTCTGGTGGTTCTTGGATCCATCACCAGCTGGAGCCACAAGACAGAGGAAGAAGGTGGAGGACGGACTAAGTGTACCACGATCTGACAGCCCCGAAAATATCGGCCTGAGGCATCGGTAAGACATTTATTCATAATATTATACCAGATATTTAACATTAATAATACTAAGAAGTTATTGGAGAGTTATTATGGTTAGACAGAGTGTATTTAATGGTTAATTTAGTTAATTGTGCTGGGTCGTCTGGTGAAGTACTGTATTGGTATATTGTTGCCACTATATAACATCAAAGTTGAAAGTATGTTTTTCCGGTGGTTTTTGATGTAATGAACGAATTTGACCTTCATTTGTGGCGCAAATCAATAGTTTTGAGATAAGCCCCTGGTGAATTAATATAAGTGGACAACCATGGAGTTGTTGATCAATGTGTTGTTCCGATGGTTTAGGAAAATATTCGTCCATTGGCTGTCCTCGGGTTTTGTATGAGTGTTTTTTTTTAGATTTTTCAGTGTTTTACTCAAATGTGCCCTTTTTTTTGTAAAGTAACGTTTTGCCAAAAAATAACATTTTCAATTTTAACAAACTGCTAATTTTGCCAATAAAATAGAGCTCAAATTTGAATAAAACACCAAAGTACACCAAAAACTAATTCTCATACCAAAGAACCTACCTAACCTAACCTACGAGGAGGAGACGAGTTAGGAGTATAACCTCGGGTAAACGCGGTGGGAACCTGCGGACAGCCAATGGACCAATATTAACCCACTTTTCTTCAATGACGTTTCCCTCACAAATGACTTAAATATAGCAGGGAGATTAGGTAATTTTAAGTAATTTCTGAGCAAAACGTCGTAGAAGAAACGTGTTTTAACATTGTCTAAACTATTGGAAAAACACATTGTTCAACAAAAAGTCAATGGTTGTCCACTTGTAAAAATTTACCACCCTGCCCCTCAGAAACTAGAGCTATAAGAATCGAGGTAAAAAGTGTCCAAAACGCACCAAAACCCATCGGAAAAAGTTTTGGATTTAACCTAACCTAACCAAACCTAAGCTAACGTGGGTGTGTACCGCCATGAACAGACATACATAATGAACTGTTAAATATCTCGCTTGAACGTATTTTGTTCCAGAAATGTTATTGAAGAAAAGTGTCTTAGAATTGTCAAACTTACCGATTGCAATTATAAAATCCCCGAGATTCGTTTAGCGACAAGTGAAATGGCAAAAATAGGTTTTCCCTAGTGTATTATGTTTTTCGAGCAATTCTAACCTTCATTTCTGGTATAAATGAGCCGTTATGGAGATATGACCTCAGTTACCGGGACGAGTTTGATTTTGTTCATTTTTTCCAGATGATGATGTTATTATAGTATTTTAAGAGGCGACATTTGCTAGAAGCTATACTGTACTGTATAATCTGATGTAATATAACCAACCAAAACGACCTACCTAACCTTACCTAACTTCCTAGCCAGGGCGTGGAATTGCCATATTAAACAAAGTACTTATTTTGATATCTGGTACCAATGAAAGCAACTTTATAGAAGCGTCACGGTGTAATTTGTATTTTTGTGGATGCAAGAGTGCGCTCGGACTCGGCGAGTCGGCTATAAACAAACGCGACGCGGCGAATCGGCCAATTTTTTGGAGGAGTGTTTACGGTAAATGTAATTATTCGCCACAGAGCACGGAGAGACATCGTTTTAGTGTCGCGTGCTCGGTTTTTCAGTGTTTTCCCCCCATTTCCTCCAACCTTCATTCCTTGCCCATTACAGGTGATTTAAGATCATATAAATAATTAATGAAAAAGTGTTTTTAATTAAAATAAAAAGTTGTCGCCTCTTTTAAAATATTATAATAAGAACACCTATGGAAAATATGAACCAAATCGGAAAAACTCTTGCTGGTGGTAGTGGTGTTCTGAGAAAAAAAGAAAAAACCTAACCTAACCTTTCCTATCCCTTAACACTTCAAATAATATATTAAGGTTACTTTATTTAACTGATGATAAATTAAAAAGTTATTTCATTAATGTTTTGTCAGTGTGTCATTAGCATTTATAGGTCACTAGGGAAGCTGGAATACGTTTAAGAAACTAATTTGCAATCCCAATAGATTTGAACTGTCCTCTGATTGGTCACAGCAGATTATGTGAAATTCAAACGAAAGGAATTTAGGTATTAAATTGGGCAAAAGTTTTTGCCCGCTAGTGCAATAAGAATCCGTCAATATTGTCGTAACTTCGTCTTATTTTGGTCACGTCCACAAAATGTAACCGCGATGCGTCGCGTAAGAAACCGGGTGTGCCAATTCATTTTTTGTGCGTCCGTCACAAAAGGTTAGATAGGGTTTTCAATTTTGTTTAACCTTTCATGTTGAAAGTGTAATTCAGTTTGGAAGAATGATTGTTGTTGTTGTTTCTAGTGTTAAAGGAAATAAAGGTCACACGTTTCTATTAGAAAAAGCAAAACAAAATAAAAACACGGAAAATTGCAGTTTCGGCGAAGCGCCGAGGTCAGACTCATTCTAAACACATCAAAAACTATTGGAAAAACCTAATTTCAACCTAACCTAACCGATTTGAGAAATCAGTTTCTCTATGTGGTATTAAACAAACAAGTGCCTTTGTTATAAGTGTACGAAGTTGTTATTTGACCAAATAAACCGTCGGCTATTTGACCGGGACCTGCGAGGATCGTACGCATACGATTTTAATGGGATTGTAGTCGGGATGATTGTGGGCATTAAACAAGTCATTACACTGTGGTATTATTTAATTGTAGAAGTTTCTGTGGGCAAAAGTATTGTTTTATTTTAGATCTCGGTCAAATAATCAGTGGTTATTGTGCCGAGTACCGGTCAAATAACCCCTGCCTATAATACAATAGTTTTACAGTGTTGTGTATTATAGTATAGCTATTGGTCACATTTCCAGGAAGCTTCAAGGAACAACAACACATCTCCATGGCAAGCTCAGACTCGACCGTACAGACCCGTCCGGTCTCGTCTACGACTCCGTTAACTGAGAAACGCCGCCGACCCGCGGGAGGTGAGACCGACGTCGTCACTTCACGTCGCGTAGTCGGGTGTACAAGTCGAGTGCATTAGAGTACTTGTATTTAAGTGCACTTGTACAGTAATCCTATAAAAGTGGGCATTTACTTAAATGTTTGTGTCTAAAGTCACGTCCCATTGGTGTCGGTGGTACGCGACACCTCAAAACTGTGGCCCAGATTCACGTTTTCCATCCCATACCCAATTTTGAATGTGTGTTTATTTTGTTTTTCTTTAAAGTACAGTATAGTATAATATATTAATAACTTTTAGCTTCGTTTTTAAAACCTAATTTCATTGTTATTAATTATGATACTCTACAAATACTGTGCTACTTTTTCTACTTGTATGATTCAGTTGAGCTAATTAAACTTTTATTTGCATAATGTTGAAGAAGACTACAGTACATAGTTCAAATTTTTACATATCAACAGTGCAGTACTTTATCTTAAGTAATATTTTCAGGCACTTTCCCCATCAATGCCTAAAGTGGACCTGAACCTTTGGACCTGATGTGAACTAGAATGAAGCTGGCTGGACCTCAAGTACTCTGTGGTATTGTATTTAATATTGTTGTAGTACTTTGAATGTTAGGAAAGTTCTACAGGCATTCCCCAGTTTATAAGAGTATTATGCATTAAAAACCTATATTAAATCGAATCAATATTCCTATAGACGCGCATTACAAAAGCCCAGATACTTTTCTACAATGAAAAAAAGTTCCCCCCAAATTATGTACGGTCCCCCAAAAAGTATCGATAGATTTTCTTGCGGTAAAATTTGAAACTCTAGATGAATACATTGATGTGATCTCCATTGCGTCAGCATAAGTTGTTACGCCCGCTCACTGTATCGGCAACAGCTATGGACGGCGGGTAGCGAGGGAGTCATCCTCGTGTGACATACAACTGTATATGCTTTACTATAACAAGAAATTCATTAAGCTATATTAATGTATGTATCGTGCTGGGTAGAAACAAGGCCTCAACCGAGGATTACAATAATATCAAAATATACGTTAAATGGAAGAGTCTTGGAACGTCGCAATCGAGACGGACCTCGAGGCGGACATTTCACCACCGTGTCGTAGTAACGGTTTCATTCGTACCGAGTTGCAGAATATACAGTAGTCGTCGACGACACGTCTGATTTATGAGAGGTGACCAAGGAAATGTTACTTGATATTAGAGTGAACAGCTACAGCAATATACAATATATCGGTCTAATTGGGCTCTGCCAAATATTATTGATACGTAAATGGTATCGGTTTAATGTCACAATAAGAATTTAAATCGGCGCGTCGCTGGTCGTTTTGTGGCTGGCGGCTGAGCCATCGCGATACAGCGGGTTCGCTCTCCCCATTGCGTCTTTCCGATAATTCCTCGGTTCGTTTGACGTAAGATCCCATTAATGACCGGCACGGCATCGGCGTCCATTTACGACACGCAATCTCAATTCGCGTAACGTGCGATCGGAAGCCTCGGAGGATTTGCATCTTTCAAAAACATATGTATACTCATTCGTGCTCAGAGGTGTAGACGTAGAGTTAGCAACAGTTCTGAAACGGGTCGTGTAACATTGGTCGAATAGCCTCGAATCACGTCGACCCCGTGGCTAAAGATATTATTTTGGGGTGAGCGTACACGTCGATTATAAGCCAATACAGGAGCTTCTCGACAGACGGACGAGTCGAGTTCCCGAGGCTCGTTCGCGAGTCCGACTTAACTCTTGTAGATAATGATATACAGTAGAGCTATACCGTATATACCCAGCACATTACGGTACAGTCGGTCCCCGACTTATGACGGGGTTAGGGACCGGGTCGCGAGTCGAAAATAATACCGTACATAGAAAATCTAAAACGAGTGTCTCTCTCTCTTCTCGGCACCACAAGAACTCTCACTCTTCCGCTTGCCAGCTATTTTAAAGGGAATTACAAACAAAAATTTTGTCGGTACACAGCGCAATCACTAACGTCTGGACTCGAAAATAGGTAATTTGACAAAATTTTGGTACGACCGAGGCGGTCGTAGGTCGAGTAGGTCGTAAGTCGAGGAGTAGCTGTATTTAACTAATGATAACAGAAAAAGTTATTTCTTTAATGTTTTGTTTTTGTGTTTTAATGTTTTGTCAGTGGGTCAGTTCTCGTCTTCAACATTTAGGTCACGAGGGAAGCTTAAACATATCCAGAAAAAAAAGTTTTTGCTCCTGCGTAAATATCACAATAGATTTGCACTGTCCTCTGTTTGGTCACAGCAGATTATGTGAAATTCGAGCGAGAGAAATTTAAATAATAAATCCCGCAAAATTGTGCGTTTCTCCCGGAAGCACGATAAGAATCCGTCAACATCGTCGCAGTTTCGTTCTACGTCGGTCACGTCCACGAAGTGTAAACGCTATTGGACTGTACGAAACCGGGTATGCCGATTAAATTTTTGCTCGTCCATCGCAAGAAGTTAGGTAGTTTAGTTTAGGTTAGGTAGGGTTTTCAATGTTTTTTTTTAACCCTTCATGTTGAAAGTAACTTTTTTTGGAAGATTCATTGTTTTTGTTACTGTAAGGAAATTAAGATCATATAAATTTATGAGAAAAAATCCAAATAAATACTGGTAAAATTATCGTTTTGGCCGTGCATCTATTTTCCAAAAGTCATAATCGTTCAAAATATCCATAAAAACCGTTGGAAAAAGATAATTTCAACTTTACGTAACCTATTTGAGTAATCGGTTTCTCCATGTGGTGTTAAACTGATAAGTAATGTTTATTTTTAATACAAAGTTGTTATTTGACCCGGATTCTGGGCCAAATAACCGTCGGCTATTTGACCGGGACCTGTGGGGATCGTATGGGATCTTAATGGGAATGTAGTCGGGATGGTTGGGGGCATTAAACAAGTCATTACATTATGGTATTATTTAATTGTATAATTTCTGTTGACAAAAGGATTTAGTTTAATTTTAGATCTCTGTCAAATAACCGGCGGTTATTGTGCCGAGTACCGGTCAAATAATCCCTGCCTATAATATAATAGTTTTACAGTGTTGTGTATTATATAGCTATTGGTCACATTTCCAGGAAGCTTCAAGGACCAACAACACATCTCGGTATGACAAGTTGAGACTCGACCGTACAGACCCGTCCGGTCTCGCATACGACGCCGTTAACGGCAAACGGAGAAACGACGCCGCTGACCCGCGGGAGGTAAGACCGACGTCGTTACTTAGCGTCGTGTCGTCGGGCGTACGAGCCGAGCGTATTAGAGGACTTGTATTTAAGTGCACTTGTACAGTAATCCTATAAAAGTGGACATTTATGTAAATGTTTGTGTCTAAAGTCACTTCCCATTGGTGTCGGTGGTACGGGACCTATCAAAACTGTGGCCCAGATTCACGTTTTCCATCCCATACCAAATTTTGAATGTGTGTTTATTTAGTTTTTCTTTAAAGTACAATACTGTATAATATATTAATAACTTTAAGCTTCGTTTTGAAAACATAATGCCATTGTTTTTTAATTATGATTCTTTACAAATGCTGTACTACTTTTTATACCTTTTTCTGCTTGTATGTTTCAATTCAGTTAATGAAACTTTTATTTGCATAGTTTTGAAGAAGACTACAGTACTTAGTACATAGTTTAAATGTTTGCATATCAACAGTGCAGTACTTTATCTTAAGTAATATTTTCAGGTACTTTCTCCATCACTGCCAAAAGTGGACCTGAAATTTTGGACCTGATGTGAACTAGAATGAAGTTGGCTGGATATAAAGTTAACTGGACCTGCAGCGAAGTGGACCTGAAGCTAACTGGACCTCAAGTAGTCTGTGGTATTGTATTTAATATTGTTGTGGTACTTTGAATGTTAGGAAAGTTGTACAGGCATTCCCCAGTTTGTAAGAGTACTGTGTCTTATAAAAACCTATGGTAAATCGAATCAATATTCCTATAGACTCACATTATAAAAGCCAAGAGACTTTTCTTCAATGAAAAAAGTTTCCCCCCAATTATGTAGTCTCCAAAAAGTATCGATAGATTTTCTAGCGGTAAAATTTGAAACGCTGGGTGAAAGACTTTGATGTGATCTCCAGTGCATCAGCATAAATTGGTACAGGTACATCCGGTCACTATATGAGCAACAGCCATAGACGGCGGGTAGCGAGAGAGGGAGTCATCCTCGCGTGACATACAACCGTACAGTATATGCTTTACTATAACAAGAAATCCATTAAGCTATATTAATGTATGTATCGTGCTGGGTAGAAGCAAGGCATATGTAAAGAAGCCCCTGACTGAGGATTACAATAACATGGAAATATACTTTAAATGGAAGAGTTTCGGATCACAACCGAGACGGACCTCGAGGCGAACATTTCACCGTGTCGTAGTGACGGTTTCATTCGTACCGAGTTGCAGAATATAGTCGTCGACGACACGTATGATTTATGAGAGGTGATCAAGGAAATAGTAGTTGATATTAGAGTGAACAGCTACAGCGATATACAGTATATCGGTCTAATTGGGATCTGCCAAATATTATTGATTCGTAAATAGTGTCGGTTTAACGTCACAATAAGAATTTAAATCGGCGCGTCGCCGGTCGTTTCGTGGCGGCTGAACCATCGCGATACCGCGGGTTCGCTCGCCCCGTTGCGTCTTTCCGATAATTCCTCGGTTCGTTTGACGTAAGATCCCATTAATGACCGGCACGGCGTCGGCGTCCATTTACGACACGCAATCTCAATTCGCTTGACGTGCGATCGGAAGCCTCGGAGGATTCGCATCTCTCAAAAACATACGTGTGCTCATTCGTGCTCAGAGGTGTAGACGTAGAGTTAGCAACAGTTCTGAAACGGGTCGTGTAACATTGGCCGAATAGCCTCGAAGCACGTCGACCCCGTGGCTAAAGATATTATTTTGGGGTGACCGTACTCGTCGATTATAAGCCAATACCGTATAGGAGCTCTTCGACCGACAGACGAGTCGAGCTCCCGAGGCTCGTTCGCGAGTCCGACTTAACTCTTGTAGATAATGATATACAGTAGAGCTATACCGTATATACCCAGCACATTACGGTACAGTCGGTCCCCGACTTACGACGGGGTCAGGGACCGGCGACCGGGTCGCAAGTCGAAAATGGGAAAATAATACTGTACATAGATGGGCGTCTCATTTTCTTCTCGGCACCACGAAACTCTCACTCTTACGCTTGCCGGCCATTTTAAAGGGAATTACAAATTAAAATGTTGTCGGTACACAGCGCAATCACTAATGTCTGCATTCAAAAATACATAATTTGACAAAATTTTGGTACGACCGAGGCGGTCGTATGTCGATTGATTGATTGATACGTTTATTGAGATACAAAAAAACATTAATACATCTCAAAGGGATGAAGTGACATAAGTCATCCTCACCCCAGTCCAGGAATGTCCCTCTCAGGACTCACATAAATCCCTAATATTTCATATAATTAGTTATATTACATAGTTATATTCTAGATGCAAAATTTCTATATTTCTTTAATATTTCATCTATTTCCCATTTCCAAACATCCACTCTATTTGCTTGGGGACATTATTTATATGGGCATTTCTATATACATTAAGCAATGGGCATTCCAGTATATAATGTGGCAGGGTATGGGATCTGGGTGTTCTACAAACTCTACATTCTTTATCCTGTTCACTTCTCTCAGCTCCAAGTTCCCAATAATATTTATATCCTAATCTTAACCTCATATACACTGAATCTTTCCACCTACTCCTATCTTTCCCATATGTAAATTTTGTGTTCATGAGAACATGATGGTAATGTTTTATTGTTTCACTTTTCTCGTATATTTCATTCCTTTTGAAATTATCTTCTATTGATTGTATTTTCTGTAATTTGCTCCTTAATTGCTTCAAGGTTTTAGTACATATTATGTCGATCTCGGCCTTTTCCGAGGCTCTTTTTGCTATTATATCTACTGCTTCATTAAGACCAATCCCCACATGTGAAGGGACCCATACAAATTGAACATTATGGCCATTTTTCCTTATTGTATTTACTAATTTTCTACATGAACCAATAATGTGTCCAAAGACTGGACTCCCACTGTTCAAAGAATCCAAAGCTGCCCTACTATCAACAAAAAAATATGCATCTTTATACCTCTTTACAACATTTTCCAATCCTACTAACATTGCATATAACTCAGCTTGTGTTGATGAAATAAAACTTCTCAACCAAAGTCCAATTTTGATGTCATCATTTCCTTGTTCTGTGTACTGTCTTATAAGGATCCCGCACCCTGCCCTGCCACTTGACATAACTGAACCGTCACAAAAAACATGCAATGTGTTTATTTTAGGCAAATTACTAATCTTATTCCCATATAAAGCCCTTAACTGTCCTGGTTCATGTAATGATTTCTTCATTGTGAGAGGCACTATGTCTAACTCTACTTCTCGTTCTTCCCTGGGTGGATTCTTACAACTCTTCTGAACAGCTGTACACCAGTCTGCCAAATTACATTTTTTAATAATATTTACTAATCCATTCATGTATCCTCTCTTGCCTTGCCTGCAGAAGGTCCTTTTATCTTTTAAACCATCATTTATATCTTGTACAAATTTACTCCCACTTTTCCCTCTCATTAATCGAACTGCTGCAACTGTATTAATTTCATTGACCCTCTGTGAAATGCTCTGTAACCCTAGTTCCATTTTCATTATCTCAATCATTGCATTCTTTTGACACCCTAAAATAATTCTCATTGCTTCATTTTGCATGATCTCAAGCTTCCGTAGCCTTCCTTCACCAGTACAAGAGAGGACAGGTGCTGCATAGTCTATAAGTGATCTGATGGTAGAAATACACATCATTCTCAGTATGGGTACCCCAGCACCTTTACCACAACATGCTAGAGCCTTCAAGGGCTGTAATCTTGCTCTACATTGAGTGAGGACATGATATATTTCTGCCTCTTTACTTTCACTAGTAAAGCCAATATACATTCCTAAATATTTATACTTTGACACTTCTCAACAATTTTTCCATTTAGAAAAACGGATTCAGTTCCTCTTCCTTTACATTCACACTTGGTTTTTTCTTCATTGATAACTAAGCCCATCTTTTGAGAAAGAACACTAAAATCATTTAATGCAATCTGCAAATTTTTTACAGAGTTTCCTTGAAATAAGATGTCATCTGCATAAATGATGGTTACAACTCCTTTGGGATATTTGTGTGAGGCTATCTTGTTCATTAACACATTAAATAACATTGGACTCAATACTCCCCCTTGGGGAGTGCCTAGTTCAAGTGCTCTTTCCTCAGACAAACATCCCTGATACCATACACAGATTCTCCTTCCATGCAAGTAGTCACCTATCCAGTGTAACAACTTTCCTGATACCCCTAGAGCAGCCAGTTCATTCATAACTACTTCACTGTGAGCTTTATCAAATGCTCCTTGTAAATCCACAAAAACTCTACATCTGTCTGCATCATTTGATAAACATTTTATAACACAGTCTGAAGTACATTTCCCTTCCAAAAAACCAAATAAATTACAAGATAGATTTTCCCCCACAATATATACAAGCCTATTTAATAATACTCTCTCCATCATCTTGGAAAAACAAGATGTTAAAGACACTGGCCTGTATCCACCAGTTGCCTTAGGGAAAGGAATAACTATCGCTTTCTTCCATTCTGTTGGTAATCTACCCTCTGCATAGCTCATGTTGAATAAATCTAATAATGGACTATTTTCCATACCAACTAAGCAGTTCCAAATTTCATATGTCACACCATCTTCGCCTGGTGCTGTAGATTTTCCTTTTTTAACAGCATTTAATAACTCATCTTGAGTAATATCTACACATGTTACATCACAAATATTTAGAGCTGATGAAATAAATCTTTTTCTTTCATTTTGCCACTCATCTAATGCTTCTATTGTCCTGTTAGGCAGGGAGGCAACACTAGCAGCTTTAGATCATTTGTCAACCAGTTTATTAGCTTCTTCCTCTGGATGAGGATAGCTAATAAAATTACTCCTTTTTCCTCTAATTTTGTTAATATCCTGCCATATTTCTTTGAGATTTTTACTCTCCCTAATGTGCTGTGCAAAATCTTGCCAATATTTCTCCCTTGCCTCCTTCCTAGCCTGCCCACATATTTTGGCTATATCCATGAAGATTTCCCTATCTTCTTCTCTTCTACCATTCTTTACCCAATCTTTATGTGCTGCCCTTAACATTTGTGTCCATCCCTTCAACATTTTGTCATTGGTATAGCAGTGTTTCCTAGCCCCATGTCTCTTATCATTTATTTTTTTCTGTGTTGACTTAGTTAAATATCTTTCTATCTCCCCAACTAAGTCATTATAAAAGCTATCCATACAGACTGGTGTATAATTTCTGTACCATTTCTCTATATTTTGGGTAAACACTTCTGTGTCATCCTTGTTTAGTTTCAATTTCTTCCTCCTATATCTCACCTGTCTCTTCCCTAATGGTAATTGAACATACACAACAAAATGGTCACTGACTAGCTCCCTTATTATCTCACATTCTCCCTGGACTCCCTGACTGCTTATCATGCAAGCATAGTCTAACCTTCCTCCTTTAATATGAGTCACTTCCTTATTTCCTAACAAGTAAGCATCTGGGTGATCTTGTAAAAATTGCCAAAATTTTATACCATTACTATTAATTCTCCCCATTGTTTCGAGTCTTGGATGTCGAGCATTAAAATCTCTTACAGCCAAAGTTGAGTCCAAAAACATGCAATCTGGTAAGAAGTTGAGGTCAAAACAGCCTCCAGAAATATACAAATTTGCTATGTTCAATTCTCCTTCCTTCAAATATAACTTTATACAGACACTTTCTATTCCTTGTACTCTACTCGGGCTTCCAACTAGTTCTGCTGGTATGGAATTCTTAATGTATGTTGAGACCCCTCTTATACCTTCACCCGAATAGAGATGAAATCCCTTATATCCAGACAGTTTAAGCAGGTCGCCTTTCCTGTCCCCAGTCTCTTGAAGGGTAATTATATCAATATTATTTTTAAGGGTAAAGTAATGTACATCTGTCACTCTATTTCGTAGACCATTAACATTCCAGGACATTATCTTAAGGCTAGCTAGATCCAGGATTAATATTTACACATTTTATATCCTTTCCAATCAGATTCTTTAAGAAGGCCCAATCCTCCTGCACAGATTCCCATTTCCTCAAAAGTTTTTCTTTATCAGCATCTTTACACTTTACCAACACATTTTTAAAACTTTCAGTTGTTGCTCCCTGCACTACACAATCCTTTATTTTCCTCTCCTTCCCTTTAATACTTATTTTAAGCACTGAATTTTTCAAAAGCTTGAGCTCTTCACTTTCCTCTTTCCCTTTTAATTCTACATTATTCACAGTTTTGTTTTCCCTTTCTTTATTTATCACTGTATCAAGTCTTTTCTCTATCACTTCTATTTTCTGACCTAACTTTTGCAAAAGCTGAAACATCTTAAGCACCTCTTCTCCCAGAATTTCTTGCACAGTTTTATCACTAACCTGGAGGGCTGCACCACTACTCTCACTTGCTACTTGTTTATTACTCTGTTTGTTTCTGGCATCAACAACGCTTCCGGCCGCAAGCGCAGTCCTTATCCTTCTTGAATCTTCATGCCAGGCATTCTCAGGAATCACTGTCTGTGTGTTCTCCTGCTGTCTTGTCACTGTCAGACCACAGCGTACTTTTTCAGTGTTCTCTGAATAATTCCTTTGTTGGTCACTTCTCATACGTGGCCTCATCTCGCATGCAATTGAACTAGCATTGTGAGTTTTACCACAATTACAACAACAAGGCTTCACTTTCTCTCCTGCTTTGATCTTGTCCTCACAGTTGCTAGATTCGTGCCTCTTCCCACAGAATCTACAACGTGGGTCCAGTTGACAGCTCCAGGCCTTATGTCCCCATCTGCAACACTTGAGACACATTATTGGTCCCTCCACATATAGTGCCACCTTCCTATACCCTGCTCCTGTGATGAACACTTTCTCTGGAACCTTTCCTCTCATTAGAGCAATAACCTGGCTTCTCTCTTCGCCCCTTATTAAATGCCTCTTGACCCAAACAAATCTTTCGTCATCCAATAAGTATTCTGGATCTAGTATTACAGGGTACCTGAAGATTATAACCTTTGTAAGTAGTATGTCGCTCTCCTCTGGCAAAACCATCAGTAATCCCTTGTACCCAACAGTTGTCAACATTTCCACAGCCTCCATGGTCCCCACTGTAAGATAAGGCTTGTGTGTGCCTTCTTTCAAAAGAGGCTCAAAGCTGCGATGCTCCCGTCCTAGTTGTACTGCCCATTTTAATTTTTCAAGGAAGGTCATCGGGCATGACTGTGGAAAAATTAATCTCTTCCTGACACGACCAACTTCACCTTGTGTGTGTTCTTGTCTGCTTCCTTCAAATTCCATACTTTGCTCTGTTCTTGATCCATTCTCCACTATCTCCTTTCTGTTATTTCCATTATTATTACCACCCACACACGTTTTTTGTCCTAGATGTTTTTGTCTCCTCCTCTCTCACTTCTTTGCTTTCACTGTCCTCGTGCCAGCTTGTCTCCCTCATCCTTTTAGAATTTTCTTTCTTATTCACTACCTCTTGTTGTAGCTGTATTTTCTCACTTTCGAACTTCCCTTGTGCTTCATCACTCGTATTAGACTCATCACTACTCAACTCAAGGTCTTCAAGAACTTCGTCCAATACTATCTTTTCTTTACTCTTCCATGTAGAGTTCTTAAGCGAAAATTCACTTTCCGTGGGGCAATGTTGACATCCCACAACACCCAGCCAGGAGTGATGGGACCCCGAGCAGTTATTTTCGTAAGGTAAACAGTAAGTTCCCAACACCAAAGTTGCTTGACGATACTTATCTTATCCTCGGGTCCTTATACACAAGTAGGTAAGTCTATATATCCTTCAGATAATGTAATAGGCTCGAAAACATCCCAAATTTGGGAGCTAGCGCTCACAGCTGTGTTTACCAGACCAAAAAAATGGCCGCTCCGTCGTATGTCGAGTAGGTCGTAAGTCGAGGAGTAGCTGTATTTAACTAATGATAACAGAAAAAGTTATTTCTTTAATGTTTTGTTTTTGTGTTTTAATGTTTTGTCTGTGAGTCGGTTCTCGTCTTCAACGTTTAGGTCACGAAGGAGGCTTAAATATATCTAGAAAAAAAGTTTTTGCTCCTGTGTAAATATCATAATAAATTTGCACTGTCCTCTGATTGGTCACAGCAGAGAGATTTAAATAATAAATCCCGCAAAATTGTGCCTCTCTCCCGGCAGCACGATAAGAATCCGTCGAGATCGTCGCAGTTTCGTTCTACGTCGGTCGCGTCCACGAAATATAAACACTATTGGACGCGTACGAAACCGGGTATGCCGATTCGGTTTTTGTTGGTCCATCGCAAGAAGTTAGGTAGTTTAGATTAGGTTAGGTAGGGTTTTCAATGTTGTTTTTTTAACCCTTCATGTTGAAAGTCTAACTCACTTTGGAAGATTCATTGTTTTTGTTAGTGTAAGGAAATTAAGATCATATTTATTTATTAGAAAAAATCCAAGTAAAAACTGGTAAAATTATCGTTTTGGCCGTGCAGCTATTTTCCGAAGGTCATAAAAGTTGAAAATACATCAAAAACCATTGGAACAAGATTATATCAACCTAACCTAACCTATTTGAGTAATCAGTTTCTCCACGTGGTACTAAACAAACAAGTGCCTTTATTATAACTGTACGAAGATGTTATTTGACCACGATTCTGGGCCAAATAACCGTCGGCCATTTGACCGGGACCTGCGGGGATCGTATAGGATTGTAGTCGGGATGGTTGGGGGCATTAAACAAGTCATTACATTATGGTATTATTTAATTGTATAATTTCTGTTGACAAAAGGATTTAGTTTTATTTTAGATCTCTGTCAAATAAGCGGCGGTTATTGTGCCGAGTACCGGTCAAATAATCCCTGCCTATAATATAATAGTTTTACAGTGTTGTGTATTATATAGGTATTGGTCACATTTCCAGGAAGCTTTAAGGACCAACAACACATCTCGGTACGACAAGTCGAGACTCGACCGTACAGACCCGTCCGGTCTCGCACACGACGCCGTTAACGGCAAACGGAGAAACGCCGCTGGGAGGTAATACCGACGTCGTCACTTCACGTCGTGTCATTGGGCGTACGAGCCGAGTGTATTAGAGTACAGGTTGTACCTCTCTAGTCCGGCATTCTGTGATCCGGAACGATTTTAGTTTCTCCAATAGGTAGATAGGCAGCTTTTTTTTTTTTTTTAATCTTGATTATTATTATTATTATTACAGGAGTATTAAATTTTTGCCCCTCAGGCCCCAATGTGGGTCAGTGACCTATGCCCGGGTGGGCTAATCCCCGTATTGGCAAAAAACAACAACGCCACGACAAAGCCGGGGGAAATTATAGTGTTTGTTGTTACATCCGGCAGCTCTCTCTCTGTGCTTGTCTATACAGAGCACAACATTTAACCCTTCAATATATATTCTAGCAGTAAATAAGTGTTGCTTTCATATTCTTAAGTAGAGTAACGACGACATGTTTTCACGTGTGCGCACTTACATACGCGCAGTTTCACTTTTTTTTACCATTGATGGTTAGCTACTTATATTGTTCCATTTATTAACATTAAATAACATTACTTCAAACAAGCATATTAATTTTTTTACATTAATTTTACTACAGCTACAATCAGGGTCTTATTTTCTTCAGTTTTATATGTAGAACCAATCTGTCACCGGTTTTGTAAGCTTTAACAAAAACAATGCCGGCAGCCGTCTCGTCTCGTCGCGCGTTTTAATATTACACGTATTAGTAATAAATTGTATTGTTAATTTTGCACACACAAACATTAATTCAATAAAAACAAATTCAGAAACATTAATTAAAATATATATGAACAGTAAATAAGTGTTGCTTTCACATTCTTACGTAAAGTAATGACGATACGTTTTCACGCGTGCGCACTCGCATACGCGATCTCTGTTTTTCTTTACCATTATCGTTAGCTACTTCTATTGTTCCATTTATTAACATTACTTAAAAGAACCATATTAATTTTTCTACAGCTACAACCAGGGTCTTATTTTCTTCAGTTTTATACGTAGAACCAGTCAGTCACCGGTTTTGTAATCGACGAAAACGGTGCCGTCTCATTTCCTCGCGTTTTAATATTGAGCGTATTATTAATGAATTGTATTGCTCATTTTGCACACACTAACATTAATTCAATCCAAAAGACTTTCAGTAATAAATAATAATGAATCTTTCGTACATAAGAGAAATAACGCCGTTTTCACGATCTTGCACGTCGTCCTAACGTCGGCGGGCCATTCAAACCCGTCGAAATTTGAGTTTCCGCCGTCAAAAGTTTTAAATGTGTCGGTTTTTTTTGTGCGTTCAAATAGAAAACGTCGAATTAAAAACTCGCGAAATTTGAGAAGGTACTGTACGACATTTAACCCTTCAATATGTCTTCAAAGAGACCACGAAGCAGAGAAAGTGGTGCTAGTGCTTCCAAGTGTAAACAGAAGTCACTATCTGTCCAGGAAGAGGGCGAATTTCCACGGTCGGGAAATTTCCGGCGTCCGACACCGGTCGGGTCCCGTGGTTGCCGGACCGGAGAGGTACAACCTGTACTTGTATTTCAGTACACTTGTACAGTAATCCTATAAAAGTGGGCATTTATGTAAATGTTTGTGCGTAAAGTCGCGTCCCATTGGCGTCGGCGGTACGCGACACTTCCAAAATATGGCCCAGATTCACGTTTTCCATCCCATACCCAATTTTGAATGTGTGTTTATTTCGTGTTTCTTTAAAGTACAGTACAGTATATTAATAACTTTAAGTTTCGTTTTCAAAACATAATGTCATTGTTTATTAATTATGATACTCTATATATGCTGTGGTACTCTAAATACTTTTTTCTACTTATATGAATCAGTTGAGTTGAGTAAACTTTTATTTGCATAGTTTTGAAGAAGACTACAGGACATAGTTTAAATTTTTACATATCAACAGTGCAGTACTTTATCTTAAGTAATATTTTCAGGCACTTTCTCCAACACTGCCTACAGTGGACCTGATGTGAACTAGAATGAAGTTGGCTGGACATGAAATTTACTGGACCTCAAGTAGTCTGTGGTATTGTATTTAATATTGTTGTGGTACTTTGAATGTTAGGAAAGTTCTACAGGCATTCCCCAGTTTGTAAGAGTACTGTGTCTTATAAAAACCTATGGTAAATCGAATCAATATTCCTATAGACTCGCATTATAAAAGCCAAGATACTTTTCTT